GAAAGATCGAAAATACTAAAAATAACCATAGACGCATTCTGCAGTCTTTTTGCGTATTAGAAACGGAGTTGGCGACACTAAGACTGCAATATAATGTTTGTGTAGCAATAATACATATACATATATTTTAGATGTCCCCAGTACCGATAAAAAGGCCGATAACGTCGGAGCTTAACGGTACCACGGTCTTTAATAATTCAGCCCGGGGGCCCGTTAATACCCGGGGCTCGTTACCCCTCCCTACCGTTGAGCAGTGTTGCGGTGTGTGAAACCTCCTTAAAAGTTTAAAATGATACACAAAGTTTGCACAGTTGATCGTTGAAGTAACTTCACAGAAAAAAAAAAAGCAAGTTTTAGGATAAGGTTAAGACGTGTTTTTGCACAAACACATATCTGCAGATACATAAATGATTCTAGCTCTTATATTAGAGATACAGATGGATTGCTTTGAACCCATTGTTCCCCCAGAATCAACAACAACTCCAGTCAGAAAGGGATTTTCAGCGGCACATTTCTGCCACCTCCGAGCTTTGTAATTTGAGAAATTGACACAAAGGCAATGCGAGCAAACACGGCCATCTTTAGAGATCAAGCAGCTTTATCTTGTAGACGCGCCGTCTCCTCTCCACTCAGATGTGATTAGGAAACCAAACACAGAGACGGAGAACGACACCGCCTGATAAATCGTCTTTCTGTTAGATTTCATTTTTCATTTGTCGTGCCGAAATGTGGAAATTGAGAAACTTTGCACACAAGTTTTTCCTCGATTTCCTCCTGTCTTTCTTTGTTTTCCTGAGGAGAAACTAGACCCTCCTGGGTGGAAGCTGTGTTCTGTAAATGAGGGATTGTTGTTGACAGTTCGAGGCAAGTGATGCTACAAAAGCAACTGAGAGGATGTCCGCCCTGTCATCATGAATAAAAGACAAAGCCCTATAGCTGGTGGAAAGTCAGGTTTGCGAGGGTGTTCTGACACCTTTCATCGTGTCATGACTGAACATCATTGGAAAGGAAAGCTAGAAGACATGTTTTTTGTAAGGAATTGCATCACAAGCTCCTCAGAGTCCTGTTGTGAACCAGGAAATGTTGAAGACCCCAAAGTTTAATGATATAAATGTACAGTACGGGTCCAAAGCACATAGAAACTACCAGATGCTAACTTGCATATGTTGGGCAATTTGCACAATCTGCTCAAATTGTATTAATTTGTGGTTTTGGAGGTTATTGAGGATGTTGAATCCATTTCTGACATTTTCACGATCAAAAAATTGCAGTTGTAACCAGGAAGTGGCCATATTTGCACTCTCTGTGGGCTGATTTTGATATATTTTGGGTCCATTTTAAAGTTTTTTGGGGACTCAAACTGCCATTTTGTATCCTTAAAATGTCAGAAATGCATCCAACATCCTCAATAACCTCAAAAACCACTCTTACATTTTCCAAATCAGCCAAGCCATATTGGAAATATTGTCTGCATATGCTAATTAATGCAACTTCTAAAATGTTCAGGCTAAAAAATTGCAGTTTTAACCAGAAAGTGGCCATTTTTGTACCCCTGGTGGACTGATTTTGATAAGTTTTGGGTCAAGGGACTCAAAACTGCCATTGTGGTACAATAAGTGTCGTTTGATTCAACATCCTCAACGACCCACAAAACCACTTCCAAAATTGTCGGCCAAGACCTTTTTTAACTATTTTCTGTAGGGATGCTCCGATCGCCAATTTTGGGGCCGATCACCGGAATCAGTATCGGCTGATACCGATCGCCGATCCGATCGAGTGGGCGGGGCCTATGGGGATCTTCCATCTTACCATGAGCATCAAATCTCGCCGGTCAAATGTCCGAACAGAATTTATTTTACCGGACAAATAATAATAATAAGAATTGTGTAGCAGAGTTTCCGTTAGCAGGTAATCACCGGACTATGACCGGATATGCTGATGTTTAAAACTCAGTTAATGGGAGTCATTTTTATATCGCTTCAGTTTATAATCGTAACAGATCGGAAAAATTCAGATTCATTTTTCAATAAATGATTCCGCAACATAATTATTACATTCAAATAAACTACTTATAGTAGATGAAGTACATTATTCAAAAATTTACTTTGAATAATAACACGGGAGAAACGGATCCTCTCTTTTCCTCTCTCTCTCTCTCTCTCTCTCCTGACAGCCCGTCAGTTTCTCATGCAGCTCGCTAAACAGTGGGCGGGGCTTCAGGTGATTATGCAGCAGCTGATCTGATCTCTCTCTCGGGTCCGGTTACACTTCACTCGCGTTTATGTCCATATCGATCAGATCCAGCTCTCCTGATCGGCCTTTATAGAGAGCACCGATCAAACTATTAAGAGTGAATATCGGCCGATAATGATCGGCGGCCGATCGATCGGAGCATCGGACATTTTGACCGGCAGGTTTTGAATTTACCGGTTTTTATTACATTTTACCAGCTAAAAACCGGTAATTACCGGCTAACGGAAACCCTGTTTTCTGCATATGCTAATTAACACAACTTATGCAAATGCATAAGTTGTGTTAATTAGCATATGCAGACAATAGTTAAAAAGTTAGCATCCGGCAGTTTCTATGTGCTGGGGACCCGTACTGTACATTTTTTACATACAACTTTTGGGGTATTCAACATTTCAGGGTTCACACATCAGGTCGACTTTTAGTGTGTATTTCAACTATCCCTGTTTCCCTTTGACACCATCAGCGCTGCTTGAATTCTTAACATGTCAATATCTCCCAATGACTGCCCTGCTTTATTGTTTTTAAAATGTTTGCAGTGCCAACTCCAGACAGCTCATTTCCCTGTAAATTATAGAGCTGTTCTTATCTTTTAATAGACTTCTGTTTTACTCTCAGCACCGTCGCCTCCATGTGTGGAAACTTGAATTATGAATAACTCTCTCTTAACTCGTCTCTCGGTTTTCTGCGCCTTCCATTACTCTTCCTCCTCTCCGTTCCAACTACAGTTTAAGTGCTTCTGCATTTCTGCTCAGCATTTTGAAGCATTCGTTCCTCCAAGCTTAGGTAACACAAGATTGTCTCCATCGTTCTTTGTCAAGGATTACGCTCAGACTGCATCTTCTTATCTTTTTGGTAATGCAATGAAAAGACACAACTAAGCAAGTCAGGGAAATAGTGAAAGAATCAATAAGATAATAAGAAATAAGAATTCAAATAACATTCCTGATTTGCCTCATTTAGGCCCATCTCTACAACTAAAACTATTGTTATTAAGAATGTAAACCTTCGAACTCCCCGTACCGCAGGTTAGTTAATACAACTCATCTAAAGAAAAGTTGCATTTCTATGTATTGATAATGTGTCCTGCAGTTGTCTTTGTGCAATATTTAATTGGATTTCTAAAGGAATAGTTTTGGGAAATACTCGAATGTTCCACTATGCTACAAGCACATCTGAAGCTCCCTAAATAAATTATTGAAAATATGTTGAATTTCTTTGTAAGTTAGTACTAAACTATACCTTTAAACATTAACATTTGTCTATGTCTAGTTTGGGACCAATTGCCAGTGGAAACTAAGCTAAGCTAACTTGCTACATACTTACTGTGCAGCCAATCAGAGTGGTGCCAGTTTTCTCATCAAACTCTAGGCAAGAAAGCGATTGAACTAATCCTTTTGATTTATTTTGATGTTAGTTAAATAATCAATAGTCTTTCATTAGTAAATCCTTTACGCTCTAATGTCTAATGTCTTCATTTTCAAGTCACCTGTACAGTGGCCGACACACGTGTTACAACCACCCAAAACATTACTATTAGGACAGTGTTTCTCAAACTTTTTCATACCAAGGACCACTTAACCAATAAAAAAACACTCGCGGACCACCTAACTCCACAAATATCCAAAAACACATCGTTTTTTACAAATCGCCTGAAAATGGTACAAACGAGTGGCCACATGTGTGATGAAGGTGTTGATCTGAGCTATATCATGCACTCGAAAGTGAAACTTATGCTCGCTCCATTGCGGAGATATTCCCGCGAGAGTGCGGAAAACTTAAATTTATTTATTTATTTAAAATGTGACATTTTACCAATATACTCACGGACCACTAGGGGGCGCTCACGGACCACACTTTGAGAAGCACTGTATTAGGAGATAGCGATGCAGTTTTAAAAAAGATGGAAATATCTACCGTACCTGCAGTCTCGTTATTGCATCGACAGAGTTTAAAGAGGGAGACACGACGCAAATGGTCCCAGACTGGATGACTCAGAATACCTTTATTAGTCCCACACAGGGGACATTAGGCGCTTTCACACCAAGTACTTTGCCGTACTTAGTTCATGAGAACTTAAAGAGCAGATCGCGTTCACACCGGAATAAGTCCCTGAGGGAGGATTAGGCAAATGAAGCCGCTGATGTCACTTCTTCTTCTACTTCTGCTTTGGGTTTACTGGCAGGCCGCAAACAACTGCCACCCGAAGTCCCCGGCCGGAAGTCCCCGGAGTTGGGGACTGGCTTCAGTAGAAGCTGCTGGGACAAGTACTCCGGTGTGAAAGCGCCTATTTACATTGTTACAGCAGAAAAGAGCCAAAGACAGCTTAATGTTACCTAAGAGGCATGCATACAAATAAATGACACAATTTACAAAATACACATCCTGTAACAGTTCTGAAGATTTAGCAGCCAGGTATATATTGCAGTTATTAACGGCATATGAATGGCGGCCCTCCTCCTAAACTCACAGAAACCCTGAGGTCTTCACCAACACTGAGTTATTTTAGTCGAGGCTAAAAACATTACTTTTCAGAGCTGTCTTTTAACTTGTTTTAGCACCTACTGTATTTACAATGTTGTTTTTAAACTATTCTGTATCTCTTTTATGCATGGTGTTTCTGAATCTGTTATTCCATTGTGGTTATTTATTGAGTTCCTTTCTGTTGTCTTCTTATTAAGTGTTAATGATGAAGCACTTTGAATTGCCTGAAAATGTGCTTTATAAATAAACGTACCTCTCTCTCCCAGGTGTTGCTGTTGTTGTGCATAGCGGACTGGATGGTGCACTCCATGTGGCGCAGCGGCAAAGACCCCGACAGCTTCTCCATCCCCTACCTGACGGCTCTGGGGGACTTGCTGGGCACTGCGCTGCTGGCCCTCAGCTTCCACTTCCTGTGGGTCATAGGAGACCAGGACAGCGACGTGGGCGACTGAGGAGGCGACTGAGGAGGCGACTGAGGAGACGACAAGGAGACGAAAAGGCATCGGAGGTGACGGGCAGACACTGACGGCCATTCCTGACGCCTCTCTTCATGAGTAAGGGGACGCTCTCTGCTTCCCTTCAACCACATGCTGGTTTTAAAACTTTTGTTTGTTTTTTGTATTCCCTTAAATTTAGACTGCTCTCAGTACGGATTTCGATCTGCATAGTTTGCACAAAAGCACTTGCATATTATAATGCTGGTGTTAAGAGGAGCAGGAAGCCACAGCAGGGAGGACACCTGGCTGTGGTTTACTCAGTTGGAGGTCTTCTACTTTAAAAAAACTTTTGTTGGTGATTATTTTGGGAATAGACCTCCCGCTGTGTCACAGACTTTGTTACCTGCTTTGTGTTTTACCGCTTTGCTACGTCGAGTCAGCGGAGCGTCACGGAGAGGCAAGAGAAGATTATCAATACGCTTTGAACCGCCGTGTCAGCAGGTCCACAGGCGGTTAGAAAAATTAGATTAATTTGTATTGATGGTCGGAGAATTCGACATTTATTCCAGTGTACATGTTTGTTTTCTCTGCATGTTCTCTTTCCATAGACTAACATGCTTTCCACATTGCTTCCACTAACAGTAGGTAAAGTTCTGTTCACGTCAAGCACTTCAATTCGATGGAAGCTATCAGTTTATCATTAGCTCATTATACTGGATTAGAGTAACGTGACCCTCCACACACACCTTCTCTCATGACAACACACAGTTTAAAGGTACTCCAAAGTAAAGCAGACACATGAGGAAATTAAATAACTCTCCGTTACCCTTATCATACGAACCAGCTATCTCTACACTGCAATACAGGAATAATGCTGTTTTTCTTTATTTATCGCAGTTTTGGCGATCATTACTCTGCCTTACTTATTGGCAGGGACTTGATTACCTGTCTAAGAAGAAAAGCCAGCTACAAAAAATCCGCTTGAGACGACGTTTTGTCACCAAATTGTGAATTAAACCCGAACTAAATTAGCTTGCATTGTTTTCAAATACAATGCAAGATGGATCTTAGTACAGAATGCGAAAAGGGTAGCATTCAACCGTATCTTTTCATCCCCGGCCTTTTGATATTATGTTAATGTTAACGGCACTTCTCACGTAGAAAACCGTGAAATGATCGATATAATGAACCTCCTGCGTTCCCCCTCATTCATTCTCTCTGTGTGTTCTGTCTGTCGTCCTCCGCAGCGGGGGTCCGGTTCAACAAACAGATCGAGAACACTGTGCCAGTCCAGCAGGAAAATAAATGACAGTTTCACGCTGGATTTTTGTTTGCTAATCATGTTTACAGTGCATGTTCGCAGAGCGTTTACATGCATGGAGACGATTATCAGCTGTTTTCATGTTGGCATCGTCTTAATTTCTACTCTTTCCGACAGAATCATAATCATCGTAAACAAATGTATTCACATATTCACAACATGCCGTGTATTTAAAGGTCTGATAATATTGATCTGGATTCAGTTCTCTGGTTATTATCAATCAGTCTTTTTGGCTTTAGGTGAGACGACATGGGGGAAACCTTACGTCAAAACAAACTCCTTAATCAAGACAAGCTTTTAATGCTTTAATTGATCATTTAAAGTCGATGTTTATTGCACAACAGATAGCTTAACAATGTTAAATTGGTTCCTCGCTCTCACTATGCAACTCCTTCTGCCACACTTTACAAACCAGTGAATGTGTTTTATCAATTTCTGTGTCCAAGCGAGAACTCTTTTCCAATGAACGAAGCATTGGCTCCAAATGTTGCTTAAAATTAATAAAATGGGATTTAATTTGCCTAAAGCTCAGTGGTTGCGTCGGCAGCAACAACGGAGAGACTCGGTTGAATACATCGGAGTAAATCACTAATTTAGTCGCGAGTAGAGAGCGTTCTAACCAGTTTTCTTTACTAATTTGAAGAGATAGTGGGGAGGGTTTGACACTTAAAATTGACCTCATCAGCATAGTTTGTGTTCATGTGAACGTAGTGGCAGCAGCCCGTGTTGAAGTGCCAAAAACTGCAGTTATTAGAACGTCCATAGGTTAAAATGCCCAATTTTACAGCCAAAATAAACATATTTACAACGTGGTACAAAATCTGTATTGATCTCTATAGCTAATGTCCCCATTTCATGACTGTATGGGTGCACATTTTTGCATAACTCATCCACTTTTAAAGATGATTTGATTGTTTTAAAGCTTAAATTGAGGCATTATTAGGGTTTGAGTGACAGGTTGGATTAGCAGGTCTCTTCAGAAACCTGAGGGTGAATTCACGGAGACGACGTCCATGTTTTCTACTGTCTATGATGTGATGGTGGCTCTTATCATCTCCAATATGTGCCTCTTTAAATGCACTGGTTAACAAGGTATCTCTCTGTCATGCCATCATCATCGTAATACTGTGCAATTATTTTCCTTTTTGTACCTAATTTCAGAGTTTCATCCCAAAATGATGTTTTAATCCCTGAAGCCAGAAGCTAAATAGGGGCTTAACGTGGATATATCATTTTGGTGTGAAACATAACGTTGCTTTTGTGGCTCGAATGGGCCGAAAATGTCTAAATAAATGTCTCTCAATTAAAGAAATCATCTTATCTTTTGGTATTTTTTGTTTGAGGGTTTTAGCCGACAATTTTTCCATAGTATTTTCACCTTCACATGAGCTCTGAAAGGCTTTGCAGATGAAAGCAGAAATATTGAGCCAGGGATGAAAAGCAGGAGTAATGATTGATAAAAAAAATCCCCCTCATTTTGCCCGAAGCCTGCTTAGATAATATCTACCATCGTATCCATGACAACACAACAGGCAATCCTCTTCTCTCCATGTTCGGGAAAACATGCTTTTCTGCGCAGATGGCATGCACACATTCGCCCACCTCCAACACATGTTAGCTCATTTTAACATGAAGAGGCTGGTGTCCAATCGGAGGGAAGAACATGTCTGAGAAAATAATTAATAATAACAATAATTTGTGGTGAATGATAAAATGTGTTTAGTGGTTCTGTTCGATGCTGTACTGGATGATTGTATACTGAGTCCTCTGAATCTTTTGTGAACATGTTGGTTAAAAAACGCTGCTCTACTAGTCCTTATAGGCGCTTTCACACCAGACCAGAGTACTTTTCCCAGTATAGTTCCGATATTTCCGAAATGTTGCGTTCACACCAAAAAAAATTGGAACTAGAACTTAGTTCATGAGAACCTTTCACCCCCTTTTCAGTCCCTGCTAGAGAGCAGGTACTTTCGTGGGAGAAAAAGGTTCCCATTTCTGATTGGCTGGGCGGAATGCAAACCACGCCCCGTAAAACTCCCCAAAAGTTTTGTGAAGCCGCCATTTTATTTTCCTCGCATTAGCATTATTAGCATTAGCATTAGCCCAGCGCACCAACGCAGAGAGACTAATTTATGGCAACACAAAATAAAACATGGGAGCGGTGGAGATGAGGAGGTGTCGGCGTTCTGGCGATTTACTCGGAAGGGGACTCCCAGCAGCTTCTACTGAAGCCAGTCCCCAACTCCGGGGACTTCGGGTGGGTGGCAGCATAGATATATATATAAACAGTGGCGGCTGGTCATTAGGGGCAGGTGGGGCACAGCCCCACCTAGTGTCAGAAGAAAGTATTACAAATAATGATTACAAAAAAATACTAAAAAATAAATAAAAAAACATATAAAATATATTTTAAGGTCATGTTTAATAATCTGATTCGTCTGTACATTTCTGTTTTAGTCTGTGTTCTTCTAATTAGTGTCTAGAGCAGGGGTGGCCAACCAGTCAGAAGTTAAGAGCCAACATTTTGACTATGTTACTGCAAAGAGCCACATCAAACACAGTCACAGATGCACGTGCACCCCCCCTCCCTCAATCTCTCTTTTGTTCTCAGCCTTTCTCTGTGCTCCTTCACTTTCTTCCTCCCTTCTCTCTCTCACAGATAAAAGGAAAATATAAAACTTCTCACACACACACACACACACACACACACACACACCGTATACATCACTTCAGGGGACATTACATTGACTTACATGCATTTCCTGGAGACTTATCCTAACCCTAACCATAACCAACACATGCCTAACCCTTAACCTTAACCTAACCCTAAACCTAACCAAGTCTTCACCCTAAAATGAATGATTCCCCTCATGGGGACTTCCAATTTGTCCCCATAAGGGAGGCGAGTCCCCACACGTGACTGTGTAAACAGATTTAGGTCCCCACAAGTATAGTAATGCTAGGCCACACACACACACACACACACACACACACACACACACACACACACACACACACACACACACACACACACACACACACAGAGAGACACACACAGCTCTGCTCAGACAGATTTATTGTAAATGGCACACACCATAATATTGACAGAAATTGAATGAAACCTCTCCTACCAGTATTCAGAGGCCAGTTAACATAACAACATAGCAATGAACATTGTGTGCACTCACACACAAACTCTCAGTAAACAAAATTGAAAAGGTTTGTTATCTTACTTTAAATTAGTGAGACTTCTGACATTCCTTGCTTTGAACAATCCTCCTCAAATCTGGCTTGTATTCCGTTGTGGCCACTCGAAGCAATTCTCTCACATGTGTGTCAGTCAGAACAGATCGATGCTTGGATTTCACGTGTTTCAGGGTAGAAAACACAGACTCACAGACGTATGTTGACCCAAACATTGAAAGTAGCTTGAGCGCAACCCGTTTGACATTTGGGTATTTTTCGATCGGCACAGTTTTCCAGAACTCAAGGGTCCCTTCCATCAGAACAGGTTTCAGTCGGTCATCCTCTGAAAGTTCGATCATCTCCAACTCGGCCACCGCCTCGTGCTTGACTAGCGGGGCTTTCAAACAGTCCGTCTCAGCATTAAAAGGATCGACGAGGAACGTAATCTGTGGCCTTTTCACATGTAGATCATGGAACCGGGTCGCAAAGTTTTCCTGCAGGGTTTCAATCAATATTGCATAACGGGCTGTTTGCTTTTTCCGGGTGGCACCGGTGGCTTGTGCGCTTGCTTTTAGCAGAGAGGGAAAATGCGCTAATTCTCCCTTTTGAAGATGTGTCTTAAACAGTTTCAGTTTGTTAACAAACGCAAATACACTTTGCACTAAGTCAGGCAGCATTTTTAACTTTCCCTGCAGATCCAGGTTCAGTCTGTCCAGATGACACAGCATGTCGACCAAAAAGGCCAGATCCATAATCCACTTGGGGTCTGAGAGCTCCGGATAATCCTTGTCCTTCTGTTCCATGAACAGTTTCACAGCATCCAACAGCTCAAAGAAGCAAGACAGCACTTTGCCTTTAGAAAGCCACCTCACAGTGCAGTGCAGCGGCAGGTCTCCTGGAAGCCCTTGGTCGAGTTCAGCGATGAGATTCTTAAATTGCCTGTGGTTAAGAGCATGCGTGCGGATGTAGTTTACGATTTCCATCACAGGCTTCATGACGTTGTCTAAATTCAGTGATTTGGACACAAGTTGCTCCCGGTGAATGATGCAGTAGAAATTCCAAAATTCGGGAAATGTGTTGTCAGCTTTGCACAGCCCCACAAGCCCGTTCACAGATCCGACCATTGATGGCGCTCCATCTGTGGCTATTGCAGTTAGTTTCTGCTTGGGCACATTTGCTTTCACAAACACATGTATCATTGTTTCTTTTACATCGATGCCACGGGTTCTGTCTTTTAATGGCACAATATCAAGGAGTTCTTCTTTTATAACACAATCCTTTGAGACTGATCATGCAAATATTGCCAACTGAGGCTTGTCTTGTATGTCACAAGACTCATCCAATGCCACACTGAAAAACTCACATGTTTGAAGATCAGAGTGTAACTGCGCTTCGATGGCGGTGTTAATGTCCGATATTCTGCGTTCAACAGTGTGGCGGGACAGTTGGACGTCTGATACCGCTTGTTTCAGTTTTTTGTTTTCTGGAGACAAGATTTCAACCACGTCACTGAGGCATTTTTGAACAAACTCCCCTTCATTGTACGGCTTTTTAGCTTGTGCTATGTTCCAAGCAACTTGATAAGATGCAAGTGTTACGGTCTCCGAGTGCTTCGTTATTTTTTTTGAAAAACTGTGTCTGCTTTTCTGCCTGACTTTTCAAGGTGTTTATCTTCTGCTTGCGAAGTTCCGTACCTTTTGGGAAGTCATGGTCGATGTTAGCATGGAGTGAGGTGAAATGGCGCTGAAGATTTGAAGCCTTGAAATGGGTTAATGCTGTTTGGCATATAAGGCAAAATGGCTTGCAATTGCGTTCGATAAAAAAATATGAACTCTCCCACTCTACTAAAAACGTCCTATGTTCGTCTTCATATTTTCGCTTAGCTGTGCATTTCTTCCCTGCCATTTTAGGATCAAACTCAATTCATGGTCAGATAGTGTTTAATACTCGATTCTGATTGGTCAATTCAGAACACGTGACACGTTGTTAATCCAGAACAGACAGACCGCTGTCAAGCAGTTCCTGCCGTTGCTACGTTCAAACAGTAACAACGGACTATTTCTCTTAGCGGATGCATGTCATTTTAAATAAATAATAGCGTACTATTTTTTTAAATCAATAAAAACATTTTCTAAATCTATAAAAGCATTTCAATTAATATTGGGAGTCATATCGTTACTTTGTTGAGAATGTGGCCATGTAATAAGCGGGATAATGGGAAAATAACACCCTTCATGCAGATCTAGACCCCTCCGCTTCGCTCCTGATCAAAATTAGACGGCGGCGCTGTCATCCTCTCATACTGACACCTGACACCACACATACACACGTAGGGAGAGCCGGGACGAAAGTAACGGAGCGATTTTATCCGTGCCCAAACAACTTTGACCGGTCAAATTACGTCCGAATTATCAGCATTCAATACTTAACAGACCTACTAAATATCAGGTCTAACTGTCAGGAGTCCGTGTCTCTCCCCCACACTCACACATATAAAATTCGATATGAATTGAAGAGCCGCATGAAACTGGCTCTCGAGCCGCATGCGGCTCGCGAGCCGCGGGTTGGCCACCCCTGGTGTAGAG